GCAGGACGGGCTGGGTGCACGCAAGGGGCACAGGGCACCCTCCYGGCCCCACACTAGGAGCGGAGGGATGGGGCTGGAGATCGAGGAGCCCCGCGGCGCTCGGGGACACACACAGCAACCAGAGCAGCATCAGTTTATTGGCCTCGTGACAGATGGCACCCTGTCCTGCCAGCAAGGGACACCTTCAGTGCCCACCCCCGCCGCCCTGGGGACACCCCATGAGGGAACAGCAGCCTTCAGGCTAGCTCTCTGTGCCTCCCAGTCCGTCGGATGCCCCACTGGTCGGCAGGGAGGAGGCAGCGCTCACTTCAGCTGGCTCAGGAAGCGCAGCAGGGCCCGGTGGAAGTCCTCTGGCTTGTCCAGGTAGCAGGCATGGCCGGCACCAGGCAGAACGGCCACACGGTGCTCAGGAAGATGCTGGAGGTTCTGCAGGGCCTGGGGAGCCAGGCGTTTGTCACGGTCACCGTACAGGATCAGAGTGGGTGTCTTGGTAAAGGGAGAGAGAAAAAAAAAGCATCACCACAGGGGGCTGCAAAGCTGAGGGGAGGCAGGTGCCAGCATCCCCACGAGCTGGGGGACACAGATCCAAAACAGGGACAAAACACTCCACAACAAGGCCAACCTCCACAGCACCCTGCAACCAGCTGGCCCACAAAGCTCGCCAGTACCCAGGACACCCCACAAGAGCCCAACAACCCACCTGGACGCGTTGGTACTGCTCAGCAGTGTAGTCCTTGGTGCCCACAGGCGCRATGGGCACGAAGCCGGCCAACCGGTCCCCCTGCGCCAGGAGGAAGGGCAGGGCAAAGCGGCCGCTCATGGAGGGGCTGACGAGAACGGGCCTCTGCATGCTCAGGTCCTGGAGGACACGGTCCAGGAAATTCCTCCGGCCCTCTGCTGTCACCATGTGTGCTGGGGGTGAATCCCCATAGCCTGGTATGGAGAAAAGGGCATGGGGCGGTCAGGGGGCATTGCACAGCCTGCAGTGGTCTCTCCTCACCGAGGTTTAATGACTTGGCAAAAAACGGATACTTGATCTAGCCCTAGGGTTGTACAACCCCAGCCGTCAATGACCCAGGACAGAGACAAATCCCAGGCAMACTGCCCCAGGGATCACTAGTAGCTACCCATAGCCCTCCCTAAGGATGTCAAGGGCCCAGCAGTGACTAAGGTGAGGGMCTGGGGCTGCCCAGAGGGATCAGCTAAGCACAGTGCCATGGTCCTACCGGGCAGATCTATTGCAACGGCACGGTAGCCTTCTTCAGCGAGCAGCGACAGCGTGCCCAGGGTCTCCCACGTCTTGGAGGTGAACGCCTGGCCATGCAGGAACAGGACTTGGGGCCTGCGTGGGGGAAGACAGGCGGGACGGGYTTCAGGAAGGCTGCCATGTCCAGCGACCACGGGGGCTGGTGAAAACCGACCCCAGGGCCCGCCACAGCGCGCCTGCCGGCGGCCCGACCCACCTCCCGGGGCCGGCAGCTCCTGCGGGAACCTCCCTGTAGAACACGGGGGGATCGCTCGCAGTCATCCCTGTGAGCACGGTGCCGTTGCCCACCCGCCAACCCCCCTTCCCCTCGTCAGGCCGTGAGCGCCGGGCGGCCGGGAACAAGAGGTAYAGGAGGACAGTGAGCAGCGCCCCGAGGAGCAGCAGCCACAGGCGGCTGCGGGCCAGCAGCATCTCCGCTCCCGCTGAAGAAGGAGAGCGTCAGCGCGGGGCGGCGGGACCGCGGCCTGCGGGGGGTCAGGTCCTGGTCCCCGCTGCTCTGCTCAGCTCCGGTCCGGCCGGAGCCCCCCGCCCGGCGCCCCCGCTCGGCCCCGGCCCC